TTTAATGTTTATTTTTGAAAGACAAAGAGAGAGAGGAAAACACAATCCAAAGCAGGCTTCAGGCTCTGAGCTGTCAGCACAGACCCTGACACAGGGTTTGACCTTACGTGACAGTGAGATCACAACCTGGGCCAAAGTTGAACACTTAACTCACTGAGCCACCCAGATTCCCCTTTTGTTTGGTTTCTAATAACACCCAGAGTTGATGAAGATGACAGGAATATAAAACTGGAATATACTTTACATCTTTTTTGGAGGTATTTCACTTCCGGCCATTCATCCTAAGGAATCAAATCACAATTCACTTTTTAAAAATATTTGTGATTCTAAGAAGTGAAAGCAATAGTTTTAAGTTGCTTTTCTTTCTTCAGAGTATCTTATTATGTAGAAGTTTGTTTGCACTTAAATATAATCAAATCTTCAAACTTCCTTACAAAGCTATCCATACATATCTTAATTGTATGCCTTGTATATCTTGATGAGTTATGACAATTGTACGCACCTTCCTAATCAAGATAAAGAGTATTTACATCAATATAAATGGTTTCTTCCTTCATCCCCTGTGTGGTTAGTCATCCCCAGGTCCAATCCCCAGACCAAGACAACCATTTTATCTGCTTTCTGTCACTATATATTAGTATTACTAATACTAATAAAGTACTAGTATTCTTTTAGAATTTTCTAATCAAAATTTTATAATCAAAGTAGTTCTATAGAATGTACTCCAGCTTCTTAGCGTATTTTGAGGTACGTCTGTGTATCAGTAGTTTGTTCTTTTTTTATTCTCAAATAGTATTCCTTTATATGGCCATACCACAGTTTACTTCCACATTCACCTGTTACTAGACTTTGGATTGTTTCCATTTAGGGGCCACTGTGAATGAAGTTGCTACAAATACTCACATAAAATCATTTCTTCATGTGGACATACGTTTTCATTTCTCTTGGGTAAATACCTGCAAGTGGGATTATTGGATTTTATGGTGTCTCTTTATAAGAAACTAGCAAATTTTTTCAAAATACTCATTCAGCGTTCCTACCACCATTGTGACTCCAGCTGCTCCCCATCCTTGTTAGCACTTGGAGAAAAGGTCATTTAAGTCATTTTGTTTTCTGTGGAGCAATAGCTGTGCTTTTAATTAGCATTTGCCTGATGACTAATAATGTTGAGCAGCTTTTCATATGTTTATTGGTCATTTGCATATTCTGTGTGTGTGGTTTTTGTTAAAATATTTTGCTGATTTCTTAAGATGTTTGTCAACTTACTGAGTTAAAAGAATCTTTATATGTGTGGGTACAAGTTCTTTGCCATATATATGTGTTGCTAATGTTTTATCCCAATCCCTGGCATGTCTTCTCATTTTCTTCATATCTTTTGAAGTTTGTACTTTTGTGTTCTAATTAGGAAATCTTTGCTACCCTAAGTCTTTCTTATATGTTTCTTCTAAAACTGTTAACAGTTTTTCCTTGTACGTTTAGGTCTAGAATGTATTTCATGTTAATTTTAAAAAATAGTTCATCTTTTCCCAAATGAATATTAGGTTATTTCATCATCATTTCTTGAAGTCTGTCCTTTTCCAATTTAATCACTTGGCTCCTTAGTCAGAAAGTAATTGACCATACGTGGATATGACTGTTTCTGAGCTCTGTTTTGTTCCATTGATCTGTGGCTATCTCTATGGCTGTTAGACACTGTCTTTATAAGAGGATATCAGTGCTCCTGCTGTTTTTTCTCCAAAATTGTTCTCACTATTCTAGATCCTTTAAATTTCCATATACATTTTAAAATCTAGTTGTTCTAACCCAAAAAACTTGCTAGGATTTTGATTGGAATTATGTTGAATCTATAGATTATTTTGAGAACTGACATCTTAACAGTATTGTGTCTTTCATCCACAAGCAAAATGTATCTGTTCATTTACAGTTGACCCTTGAACAATATGGCCAACCCCCCCCCCATGGAGTTGAAAATCTGCATTATCACTTCTGACGCCCTATAGTTTTAACTACTGATAGCCTTCTGTTGACTAAAAGCCTTTCCAATAACGTAAACAGCCAATAAATACTTATTTTGTATATGTATTATATAATTACAGTATATATTCTTACAATAAAGTAAGCTATTAAAAAGAAAATGTTAAGAAAATCATATGGAGAGAGGTGCCTGGGTGGTTTAGTCGGTTAAGCGTCCGACTTCAGCTCAGGTCATGATCTCGTGGGTTTGAGCCCCGCATCAGGCACTCTGCTGACAGCTAGCTCAGAGCCTGAAGCCTGTCTTTGGATTCTGTATCTCTCTCTCTGACCCTTCCCTGCTCATGCTGTCTCTCTCTGACTCTCAAAAGTAAATTTAAAAAAAAAAAAAAGAAAAAATCATAGGGAGAAGAAAATGCATTTACAGTACTGTACTATATTTATTTTAAAAAGATCCACAATAAATGGACCTATGCAGTTCAGACGTGTGTTGTTAAGGGTCAGCTGTAACATGATCATCTTTGCACTGTTTTGTAGTTTTATGTGACGAAATATTGCACACATGTTACATTTATCTTAAGTATTGTATGCTTTCTTGATGCTTTTGTAAATGCTCTTGTGGGTATTTATTTCAGTTTCTAATTCTGTATTGCTAGCATATAGAAATGTGATTTGTTTTATATTAACCTTATATCCTAGGATTGCTAAACCATCTTACAGTTCTAATAGCTTTTTTTGCATATTAGAATTTTTTTAAATGTTTATTTATTTTTGAGAAAGAGAGCGCAAGCAGGGAAGGGGGGTGCAGAAAGAGAGGGAGACATAGAATCTAAAGCAGGCTCCAGGCTCCCAGCTGTCAGCACAGAGTCCAATGCAGGGCTCAAACCCACAAGCCATGAGATCATGACCTGAACCAAAGTCGGACACTTAACCAACTGAGCCACCCAGGGGCCCTGCATATTAGAATTTTCTATGTATGAGACCATGTGGTCTGCAAATAAAGACTGTTTTGCTTCTTTTTTTCCCCCCCCAATCTATATCCTTTTTTATTCCTTCATCCATACTTTAATACTTTCACTAGTACATCCAATAGAATACTGATTAGAGGTGGTCAGAATGATCATCCTTACTGCAGTCCCAGTCTTAGGAAGAATACAGTCAGTCCTTCACCATTAAGAATGATGTTATTGGAGTTTCTCATAGAGTCCCTTTTTCACCTTGAGGAAGATCCCTTCTATTGCTAGCTTACTGAAAGTTGTTACAGATTAATGTTGTCAGATGGCTTTTCTATATTTTAAGAGACAGTAATATAATTTTTTTGTTTTTGTTCAAAGGATGTTTGAATCTTTGTTTATGAGGGATATTTATCTGTAGTTTTCCTTTAATGAATTTATCTTGTTTCAGTATCAAGGTAGGTAGTGCTGCCCTGAAGAGGTGTGTTGAATATTCTCTCCTTTCTTTTTTGTAAGAATTTATGTAATTTGTTACTATTTTTCCTTAAACACTTGATAGAATTCACCAGTGAAGACATCTGTGCTTGTTTCCTTTGCTTTCTAATATGAGCTTTTAAAACTATAAATTTTTCGTCAAAGCACTATTTGAGTTATAGGTCACAAATTTTTGTATGTTGTGATTCATTATCATTCAGATCAAATGCTGCTTAATTTTCCTTATGATTTTTATTCTGATTTATGGAATATTTAAAAGTCTGTTGCTTAATTCCTAAATGTTTAGGATTATTCAAGTATTTTTATGTTGAAATGTATTAAGGTATGTTTTATGACCCAACATATATAGATGTGATCTATCTTGGTTCTGTAAATGTCAGCCAGGTCAAGTTGGTTAATAGTGTGTTAAGTCTTCCATATTCTTTCTGGTTTTCTGTCTCGTTGTCATTCCAGTGTTATTGCAATTATTGACAGAGGAGAGGTGAAATATCCAGTGATAATTATGGATTATCTCTTTCTTCCTATGGTTCTGTCAGATATGCATCATGCACTTTGAAACTCTGTAGTCATACATACATAAGAGTTTGTTATGTCTCGTTTATGCATTGAATAACATATCATTTTAAAATGTGTCTCTTTATCTCATCTCTGGTTATAGTTCTTTTCCTGAAGTCATCTTTGTCTGAAATTAATACTTCCATTTCAGATTTTTATGATTAATATTTATATATAAAATATCTTTCTCCTTCCTTTTACTTTGACCTTGTCTTTCTATTTAAAGTATATTGAACAGGGGCGCCTGGGTGGCTTAGTCGGTTAAGCGCCCGACTTTCGCTTAGGTCATGATCTCGCGGTTCGTGGGTTCGAGCCCCGCGTCGGGCTCTGTGCTGACTGCCAGCTCAGAGCCTGGAGCCTGTTTCAGTCTGTGACTCCCTTTCACTCTGACCCTCCCCTGCTCACGCTGTCTCTCTCTCTAGCCTAGAAATAAATAAAACATTAAAAAAATATTTTTAAAATAAAATAAATAAATAAAGTATATTGAACACATTTACCTGTAATGTTATTATGTGTGATATTATATTTAATTCTGTTATTTGTTTTCTGTTTTTCCCCTCTGTCATTTATTTCTCTTTTCCTTCTTGCCTTTTTTTTATTGAATACTCTCTGTTATTTTATCTATACCCATAGATAATTAACTATACCTGTTGGGTTTGTTTTTATAATTGTTGCTCTAGAGTTCTAGCATGCATCTTTAGCTTACTACAGACTACCATCAAGCATTATTATGCAGTTTCATCTATATTTTAATACTCTTTCAGTAGGATACTTTCATTTACACCCTCCAATCTTTTGAGCTATTATCATAAAAATTTCACTTCCCCAAATATTGCTGTACCTATATTGTAGATCTACTTTGTTACAAAATTAAACATAAAATTGCCCTAAAAATTAAGTCTTGATTTTTTTTAAATAACAAAACATCTCACAACAAAAAAAAAGAGAAGTACCAGGTATACATTACATTTGTGCTAGACTGTATTCCTTGAATTCTCAAACACATCTTCTGCCTTTCATTTATAGGTGAAGCCTTGAAAGGAAAGATCACAGTCCACAAGAATAAGAAAGATCCACGTTCGCTCATTGTGACCCTCACATTGAATAATTCAACTCAAACTTATGGTCTCCAGTGAAAAGCCCACAGAACCACAACTAACTGGGGTTCTTATGGGGGGGGGGGTATGGGTAGGGGGTGGAGTGAGGGGCTTTATGTGAGCATGTGGATGATCCTTTCCTGATGCTTCTCCTCAGTACGAGAAACACATGGTAAGAACCTAATATAATTCAGCTAAAGAAGGAAAAGCACCTGAGCCTAGTGGAGTGCCTCCATAATCACAGTCTTAGACGTCTGGCCAGCAAGATTTTACTAGATATACCCCTACATTGAATTTAGCCATATTGAAAACAATTTAAATAGGCCTGAATTTGGAACAGAGGTATCCTTTTGTTGGTTTTAATGTTTCTTACTATAAATTTTAAACACTGGTAACTGATTAGTTAGTTAATGTTTTATTAAACTAGTAACTATACACAAGCTAGTGTACATTTTATTGCAGATTTCTGCTCTGAGGAGTAGTTTTTAATTGTATTATTGAAAAGAGTATCAGCATATAATAGATTAAAGAGCAAGTGGAAGGGACCAAAATTTGGAAAAGAGCGTCACACAAATCATATTTAAAGACAGCTTAGTTGATTATCCTCTAGTTCTGAACTTCTCATTTTACAGCTGCTTTCCTCCTCACAAATACTCTTTCACCACAGAGTTTTCTGGGGCTGCCCAGGAAATCCAATTTCAGTACATTTATCCTAGGTTTCATGTAAACTTTTAAAGGTTTGGAAAAATAAGTACCTATTTACTAATGTATCTTTTTCAAACTAGATTTATGCGCAAAGTTAAACATGTAAATGTTAATAGACATCTGTCCCTCTGTACAACTGTGTCACTTACAGTTATTTACACAATTTGAAGTGCAGAGTAGAAAACATTCAATACACTGTATACAATAACCAATAGCATTATAAAATGATATTTTAACATACTAAAGCCTTTTATAAAATCGGAAACATTTAAAACAATTCTTAAGAAAGGAATCATCTTTTAAGAAAACAGGGATTTAAAGGCAGCTAGGTCACATATTTCTTTTCAGTTCAAAAGCTGGTTCTTTTTCAAAAGGCATACACAAGGCAGCGTAGCATAGTGTTGAGAATCATGAGCTGTGGAAGTCAGTGTGTAGGTTCAAGCTTTGGTGCCAGCTCTTACTTGCTATGTGATCTTAGTCATGTTCCTAACCTCTCTCTCCCACTATGAATGTGCCAGCTCATGAGTTAACACATTTTAACTACTTCGATCAGTGCCTGGCACATAGAAGGCAGTAAATGCTGGGTGATAGTACCCTCATCATCATGCAGTCAAGGGTCTGTTCCATGGAATATGTGGTGTCTACTTAGATTAGGAATTGTCACTTCATCCAATACTTAAGTATATGAATGGGTGGGAAGATTTCAGCAAAAATTAATGTTTACTATACCAAAAATGATCAAAAATTTGTCTTTTGGTGTTTATTAGAGAACTGGAGTTCTAACAATGGGAAGATTAACACCTTCAAATGATGTGTTTCAGACCATAGTCTCTTAAGTCTTGCTTCTTACATAAGCATGATTTCTGTTGTCACCGGGTGAAACCAGCAGCTTGTTTTCACATAATGCTCTAATTTGAATTTAGAGCATTACTGGAAATATGTGGTGCTAATAGTATAGTGCAAAGTACTTTAAATTTTGTCTGGAATGGCCTCATGTACAAATTTGAGTATGGTGGGGTGATGAAAATGAGGAAGCATAAGATTCACTGGATTTTTAAAGTAACCAAAAAACATCTTACTTTTTTTTGCCTTATTTTTCTTTAAGTGCATAACAATTTTTTTTACTATTTAAAAAAATGTATTTCTCAAAAATGATGTTTTAAAAAGTCTTTTTGATTTGCATGGGATTTTCATCCAGGGGCTCTTTTGAGTTTCTCCTGGTTATAAATAGCCCAACCATAGTTGGTAGATTTCTGTTCTTTTCAGTTCCCATTCCCAGGCTGGAACATTTTAATGTATGTATCTAAACATTTTATGAGAATATGAGAGTTCAAATATTAGCTCTTTGATTGGAATTTCAGCTGTCAACCTACTATGAAAAATAAGTACTTCAGAGTCTTTGACAGTGATAAATACGTTCATGCTGTGGCAGCTGCACATTTACGGATAGCAAACGACTTTGTCCCAAAGATTTTATTTCATTTCAATTAAGAAAATATATTTTTTCCTCCTATTTTTCTTTGTGAAAATTAACATTGTTATGCTGTAATGTGTAGGGTTCATCCAAATATAATTATCATCTCTGTTCAGTGGAACAGTATTTTCTGAATGAGCATTTTGGAAGGAGTGTTTCACCAAAACAACTTTTCAGGGCATGCAGAGTTGCAAAAGTGGTCCAAGAAGTAGCCCCAACTGCTAAGGACACACTTTAAGATAAATGAGGGAGCTGTCATTTCACTTTGAAATAATCCCTGTTTGAAGGGGAGGGCAAGTAATTCTGGTCCTACAGAGTTACTTGCTTTCTTACCACATTAATCTGGATTAACTGTTGTGGTCTACCTGTGTCCTTTAGCGTTCTACCTTTCTCAGTTTTTAAAGGGAAATATCTGAAATGTATTGTGTGAAATAAAGGACTTGAGATCAGCCCATACCAATCTCACCAATCATACTATCAAGTAGAGCAAGTATGCCAACAGTACTGCTAAGAACATTCAATGGGGAGATTAAAACAGGATGATATGGATGATACGTTACTTAGCTCCTGCCCACTATGCCAGAAATGATCATTTAGGCTACTGAGCTGTAGCATAGACCCAAAACAGCTAGGGATTCAGATTTTTCTGTGGAGAATATCTCCAAAACATACTAAGTATCCAATACTGTCATGGAGTTTGAATCTATGATGAAAGGCAAGGTCAGTGAGATAGCTGAGGTCAATCATTGCCTGTTGTAGGGTTAGCAAACTACAGCCTGAGGCCAAATCCACCCCATTGCCCATTTTGATAAAATTTAATTGGAGCAGAGATAGCTAATACTGAAGGTAGAAGAATTTCTTCACAAGATTCATTAATGGCCATGGCAGAGAATATACATCCAATAAAGCACATTACAAAGACTACAGTTTTTACAAACATGGAGCTAAGCAGTGGGATGTACTTCATGTATGAGGGTTAGAGGACCAACCAAGACTTACCGTAATTAAAAAAAAATACACACACACACACACACACACGGTGTTTACATTCTTGAGATGGGTGTCTAGAATTGTAACTGTTGTAATTGTGCAAAGAGAATCAGTACACTAAAACTTTATAGCTGATAATCAACTTTATTTAGAAAGTTTAGTAAAACCAGAAAAGGGTACAAAAGAACTTTTCACAGTTAGAGATGGATTTACCCCGCCCACAGCTACAAACTAAACTAATGAAGGACTTGGATGAATGTCACTAACCTCTGGGTTTTTAAGAGGGCTCTGGATCCAAAACCAGCTGCCAACATTAGGAGAAACAGTTAGGGAAATTGCTTTATATCAGCACTTTTGAACATGCTTTGGTGTCTTCCTTGCTGGGTTCTCACCCTAGAATGTGGTGTTCCTGTTGTACTTAGGCACTAGGCCCCATGGGAAGGCATGTAATCAAATGAGGCCACCTATCAAATGAGGCCATGTTGCCTTGGAGGTACATGTATTTTTAATGATTTTGTGTTTCTTTCCTTGCTATAAAGTTAGGGTGAACTTTTCCAAGCAGAATGACGAACAAGCAAAGCACATTTAAAGTGTCTTAGCAATTCACTTGTCCTTTCTAATAAAGTTTTGAGCGCAAAAAAAAAAAGGGGGGGGGTGCCCAGATGGCTCAGTTGATTAAGCGTCCGACTTCAGCTCAAGTCATGATCTCACAGTTCCTGGGTTTGAGCCCCATGTCAGGCTCTGTGCTGACAGCTTGGAACCTGGAGCCTGCTTCAGATTCTGTATCTCCCTCTCTCTGCGCCTCCCCTGCTCATACTCTGTCACTCAAAAGTAAATAAACTATTTTTAAAAGCCTACAAAAGAAATGGTTTTCATATATTCCCACAACATCTTGGATGATGTGGAATAGTTAGCATTCATTTAGCTCTAGAGTGTAGCTAAATATATGCAAAAGTTGTCTATCATTGAGTTCATTGTAATTGTTTAAAATGAAGATAACAATAGTTTAATAAATAGTCAAAGAAGATGAAGCCCAGACCTCCCAGGTTGTTCCGCATTCCCGTTTCTTACCCCGATACAGTTCTGTAGATCTCTCCTTTTCTCTCTAAAATCCCTTACCCTTCTGAAGTTACTGTTTCCCCTATAGACCTCATATTGTGACTGTCCTGCCCAACACCACTAATCTCCCTAGACTTGGGTGTGAGATAGGTGACATTGTTGCTTCTTGTTGCAGCGACAGACCGTTCTCCCCCAAAGTCCTTTCCATCCCCTCCTGTCTTTATCTCTTTTCATCAAGAACACACTTTATTTTGTCACTGTCAACTCCCCACCTCCAGATCAGTCTCCATTACTTGAAAGTTTTAGTTGCCAACACTGCCCCACACTGCTCCTGCTTAATCAGTGAGTAGATGATCCTTTTATACTCCGACCTTTTAGCTCATTGACCTCATCCAATGATCTTGCCCTCCACCTTACCTCAGCCACTCACTCCTGTGGTCATCCTCTAGAACTGGCCATACCCAGAACTCAAGCTCTCTTGTAAATCTCCACATTAAGTATTGTAACTACCTCTCTTTTCAGCTCACTCTCTTTGGTATTCCAATTTCAGCAATTCTTCAACTCCATCAAGACCAAATCCATTAATTCCTATCACATGGTCATTGTCCCTTACCTCTTCATGTTTATACCTCCCTCTTGGATCAGTTTAAACTCCATAGTCCATCATTATAAACACTTCCTTTCAGATAGCTGCAATTTCTTTGCCTCTCCACTTTTCTGTACTCGGGTACACCACAGTTCCACTTCAAATCCAAACACATGACCGCATGTGTATAGCTCAGTGAGGCTGGAGGAAAACAGCCATGTTGATGGTCTAGTCTTAAATTCATGAGTCCTAATCTCAACTGTACAGAAGTCAGTCCTTATTTCTCTGGTCCATTTATCTCACACTCTCATCAAGGATAATTTTATACCTTCTCTCCTCCAACCTCTAGAACATCCTCATTTTTCAGCTGAGGTCCTTATTCCCTATGTTACTGAGAAAATAGAACCAATCTGAGAACTTTCACAGGTTTCCATAGCACACACCCCCACCAAACATTTACCTATGCCCATCTACTGCTTTCCCACTAAGTGAACTTCCACTACTTCTAGCCAAAGCCAGTTTCTCCCTGTGTCCCACATCCCACTCTCTCAGTAGTTCCAAATTGTTTCAGCATGTTCCCTCCCCAACTCTCTTATTAACCTGCAAATAAGCTATTATCTTACCTATGATTTAAAAAAAAAATTAACTCCACTTTTCCCTTCTGCTATTGGCATATTTCTAATTTTCCTTTTACATTAAGGCCACTCAGAAGAGTTGTCCATGGGGTGCCTGAGTGGCCTAGTCAGTTAAGCATCCATCTTCGGCTCAGGTCATGATCTCCCAATTCATGAGATCGTAACCCACATCGCATTCTGTGCTGAGAGCTCAGAGCCTGGAGCCTACTTCAGATTCTGTGTCTCCCTCTCTCTCTGCCCCTTCCCCACTCACATTCTGTCTCTCTCTCAAAAAACAAACATTAAAGAAAGTTTCTTTAGTTAAAAAAAAAAAAGAGTTGTATGTGTTCACTGTCAGTGTTAACCTCTCTTCCCATTATTTTTTAAAGAACTGTATTGAGGTATAATGTATATACAATAAAATGTACATGTTAAGTGTACAGTATGACAACTTTTGACAGCTTTATGCATGTACTCATCACCCCTATTAATATTTAGAACACTTCCTTCACACCAGCAGATTTTCTTGTGCTACTTTGCAGTCAACATTTATCCCCACTCCCATCCCCGATTTCCATCAAGATAAATTTGTTTTTCCTGTTTTAGAACTTCATGTAAATGGGGTCATATAGTATGTACTCTTTAATTTCCAGCTTCTTTTGGCACAGTTTTTGAGATTCATCATGTTGATGTGTGTCAATAGTCCATTTCGTTTTATTGCTGAATATTATTCCATTTTATAAATAGAATTCTACCCATTTGTTTATCCATTCACCTCTTGATAAACATTTAGATTGTTTCCAGGCTGAAGCCATTATGAACATTTGTCTACACATCTTTTTTGAACCCATTCTCATAAGGATTTCTGCCTCTATCACTTCATTGAAACTACTCTTATCAGGGTCACCAGTGAACCACGTGTTGCTACATCCAGTGACCAGTTCTCAGCCCTCATTTTACTTGAGCTACTAGCAGTACTGGATGCTGATAATCATGCTCTTGGAGACATTGGTCTTGGCCTTCCCCACTCTCCTTCCTCCTTGACCATTCTTCAGGTTTCCTTTGTTGGCTTTTCCTCACCCCTTCACCTTTACGCATTGGCACCTTTGTCCTGGAATTTCTTTTCTGCCCGTCTTCCCTCCCTTGGTGATTTAATCTGGTTTTATGGCTTTAAATACCTAGATGTTGATGACTCTTTAATGTATCTCCAGCCATCTATCCTCCACTGCAGTCTATATCCAACTGCCTACATGACATGTCTACTGAGATGTCTCCTGCAGCTCAAACTTAGCATTTCCCCCAAACTCTGCTCCTGCTGTCTTTCTCTACTTCACTTAATAGAATTTCCTTTTCAGTAGCCCAGGCCAGAAACATGAAGGTCCTCGACCCTTTTCTTCTTGACTCCACATCTAAGCTGGCCAGCAAACCTTATAAGATCTACTTTTAAAATATATCCAGAACCAAAATAGTTGCACTGCTGCCATCCTGGCCCAAATCAGCATCATCTTTCACTTCAATCATTAGTTCTGAGAATGTAGACAGCAGACCCCTAGTGACTCCAAAATAAAACTCTTGCAGGAGTTCCAAACTATTTTTGCAATAATACTAACACATCGTTTGCCTTGTTCACTGTATTGGCATTTACAGTGATGATGAAAAAGCAATTGTGGGTAAAAGTGCTGGCCCTTTAGCACAAATCAAGGCACCAAACTATACTGAAGTAATCATTTTATTCTTCACTGACATACTCTAAAAAGTCCTTGGTGAAGTGGTAAGTATTAATTTCACTAGATCTTGACCCTTGAGAACATGTCTTTTCAATATTCTGTATGATACTAATAAAATGTGTCTGCTGCATGCTATTTGTCTCCAGGGAATGCACTTGTGCAACTGATTTGTGAGCTATATTAGCCCCTTTTTTCATGGAATATTATTTTTATTTGAAAGAATGGCTAACTATGGCAGACACTGTCCTGCCAAGGAACACACTGAGCTTATCACTTCAAATAAAACAACTGGTAGAATTTGTTGCCAATGATAAAATACTAGTTTTCAAGCTAAAATTATAATTTTAGAAAGCCTATATCTGTCACTATGACTTTGAGGACTGCTTAAATTCTTAAAGATTTAAATGGCATAAGGGAAGAAAGAGGGCTGCTCCAAGTTCTTAAAAGACTTAAATGGCTTCAGGGAAAAAAATATCTTTTCTCTGCTTTTATGTATTGACTATGATCCATGTCAATTAAGACACAGATCTTAGACAAATTAACAAGAGAAAAGCTTACACATTTATTTAACACTTACTTTGTTTTTATTATACTTTGTTTAAATTGTTTTTAATGTTTATTTTTGAGAGAAAGAGAGAGAAATAGCACGTGAGCAGGGGAAGGGCAGAAATAGAGGGAGACACAGAATCTGAAGCAGACTCCAAGTTTTGAGCTGTCAGCACCAGAGCCTGGCGTGGGGCTGGAACCCATGAACTATGGAATCATGACTTGAGCTGAAGTTGGATGCCTAACCAACTGAACCACCCAGGTGCCCCTATTGCACTTTGCTTTATTGTGCTTCACAGATTTTTTGTAAAATGAAGGTTTGCAGCAACCCTGCATTGATCAGCAAGTGTGTCAGTGCCATTTTTCCACAGGCATTTTATATGTCTGTAATTTTGGTAATTCTCACAATATTTCTAATTTTGTCATTGTTACTGTATTTGTTATAATATGTGATCGGTGATATTTGATGTTACCATTATTGTTTGGGGGCACCACAAACTGCACCCATATGAGACAATGAACTTAAATGTGATTGTTCTGACTGCTCCATGGACTAGACATTCCCGTCTCTCTCCCTCTTCTTGGGCCTCCCCTATTCCCTTTTGAAAACCGCAATATTGAAATGAGGCAAATTAATAACCCTACAATAACCTCTAAGTGTTAAAGTGAAAGGAGAAGCCACACATCTTTTGCTTTAAATCAAAAGCTAGAAATGATTAAACTTAATGGGGAAGGCATGTCAAAGGCAGAGACAGGCTGAAAGCTAAGCCTCTTGCACCAGCTACCCAAGTTGTGCATGCAAAGGAAAAGTTCTTGAAGGAAATTCAAAGTCCTGCTCCAGCAAAGCAGCCTTATTGCTGATATGGAGGAAGCTTTAGTGGGTGAGATAGAATATCAAACCAGAAGCAACGTTCCTTTAAGCCAAAGGCTAATCCAGAGCAAGACCCTAACTCTCTTCAATACTATGAAGGCCGAGAGAATTGAGGTCACTGCAGAAGAAAAGCCTGAAAGTAGCAGAGGTTGTTAATTGAGTTTAAGGAAAGAAGCCATCTCCATAACATCAAAGTGCAAGATGAAGCAGCAAGTGCTGATAAAGAAGCTCCAACAAGATATCCAGAAGATCTAGCTAGATAATGAAGGTGGCTACACTAAACAACAGAGTTTCAGGGCAGA